TCATCGAAAGGAGACTACGACCAAAATATAAGCCGCAACATCCTGGTTTTCGTATCTACGTTTAAATTACCTATTTTAAATTAAAGTCCACTCACGACTATTGAAATTTTGAACTTTGGTAATATATTTTACTTATGTATCTCATTTATTTCATTTTATTTTATTATCCTTACTAAATTTGAGCCTCTATTTTGTCCCCCGAAGGTATTTTATTGGCATATATCTTTAATACGAAAGCATATTTCCCTTACTACTCACTTTTTATCTAGACCTAATTAGCCTTTTTTACATTATTTCTGATATTAGCTTCTTTTTATGATTGATGCTGGTAATTTGGACTCGGGTTTTGGCTTTGCTGGAACCAATAGCGACTGACTTAATATCTAACAATTTCATTTAGTCCTCCAACGAACCCCAGCATTTTGAAACTGCCATCGGACGCTATGTTCATTTTTATCTTAATGATCTGTGATAAATTTCATATTCCTAATAAGCATTTTTGAATATTATAATTATATAAACGACTAGATCCATTCGGCATTACTGGACTTCACGGTACAGCCCTGCCACTTAGTATAATCGCCAAATATTCCGCATTTTATATTGCTTTAATTTCTGATTTCTTTTTCTCCAGCTCCAATATTCCTTCAAACTAGCTGCATCAATATGTTTTCTACCTTTTGATCCCCATCCCTATATTTTAGGGTCAAACAAAGTGATCCCAATTCCTCTGACTATACCCCATCAATGTGCTACTAATGCTTCCGAAGTGGCTCGTATCACCAACGAACATCCAATGGACGCACCCAGTCAACTTTTCCGAGAGGGCGGCCGCCTTTGTGGAGAATTAGCACCGTGTCGGGCTTTTGGCGATGTCCGTTACAAATGGTCAGCTGATCAATTACTTGCTCTAGTTAGACATTTGGCTGGCGATCAACTGTCAGGACAGCCGAATTCACCCTCCAGCTTGGTGGGTGCTTCAGGTGTCCTTTTAAACGGACCGTGGGCAGGCCTGCCACCTCTTCCTCGGCCCTACACCAGCCCACCATATCTGACCGCCGAACCGGAAATAACGAAAATTGAGGTGAGTTTGGCATTTTTTCTACCCTTTGTATTTACTTCTCTATCCGATAGAACTGAGACATTTCTTGTGATAACTTTTGAACTTATAATTTTTTATCGTAATTAATCTCATGTGAGTCGTAAAAACTGATTAGAGTTACGCTTAGAAGCTGGTTGACCTTGTTTTCGCAACTTAGTCATATTGCCAGGAAGACCTAGAGGAATGTACCTTGTCCGGAGTCCATAGCATGCATGATACTTTCTAGGGCCGGACCATGGACTTGGCACATTCCCATACGTTTTACCGGCATCATCAGTGAGCCTTGCCATTCTTTGCACAACTCGTCAAAAAGACAAGTGAAGCCGATCTTTTGAACAAACGTATGCTAAACAGTCGTGGTATCTCTCCTTCTGTTCTGGGCTATTCGAACTTCCTTTATTCTCGTATCACCCCTTCAATATCACAATTTCTTACTTAGTTATCTAAACCTATTTGAAACAAATTCACACTACCTGCTGATTTCCATGTCCCTCCCACTGTACCGTGAGTGTTGATCCAAGGCTGCGGTTTAATCCGCAATTCTTTCCTTCGGGTCCTATCAGAGTCCCGCTCTTGCCCATTAGGAACTTTTTCTTATCTGCCTGTTTTAGTGTATCAGGCCATCGCTGCCACCGTATTCGTGCTACTCAAGCGTTATATCCTACACTGCCTCAAGCCTTTCATAGGACGTATGCACTAGCCTTACTGATCAAGTTTCTAAAGTCTAGATCCTTAATCGACATGGCAACCTAACTTGACGCTGTAGATTCCCTTATCGCTCTGCGGCATGTGCACCGAGTTGATCTTGTGGTCAAGCCTTTACTTCATGGGCCAGGTCTACTAATAACTAACTAGAAATGGCCGCCGCTGTTTCTCTCACTCTTCAATTTTTAATACCAAGTATATGACTTTCTCATGCTTACCGACCCCCAAATGTGATGGTTCTACTTGATTTCAATAGGCTCATTGTTTACATCTTCTCTTGGTTTCCGATTGTTCTTCTCTGGTCTCCTTGTAATTTCTTTTCCTATAATTAACGATATCACCTTAGTCCAATCGTCTTCTTTTTGCTGATATTGCTGTTTCCTGTTCTTCTCTGAGTTTGCTTAGGTAATATGCAAAGTTTTCGCTAATCATGCCTCCTGTTCATTAGATTTCTTTCAGTCAGGATATCGGTGGCATCTCGTATTTTGCGTTTTCTTGTATTTCCACCATATGAAGCCAGCCTCTCTGGCGATTTCCATTCGATTTAGTGCGATGTGTTTCGCTATTTCGGATCTTTCAGTGTCCACGTCTCTGCAGAGTCTTTGGTGTTACCTGATTCGTAGGCTAATTTTTCTTCCTGTTTCTTCAATCTCTTTCTGCTCAAAATTGCCGCATTTGATCCTATAAACTCCCGAGCAATCCAGTTTGTCAACCTTCTCATGTTACGTCAGCAGGTTTGGGAAGGGTGCTGTCTTTTATTTTGTTATCATTTTGATATTCCATTTTATTAGCAACCGTCGCGATTTCTGACTCAGTTTACTGGAGGGCAGGCATATTCACTTTTTGTCGTCTTGATTCCTGATCTTACTTTCATAAAATCAAAGTTGAACT